GATTTGAGTCTTGAAGTCATATGGGTGAAAATTTTTGATGGGGATGTTTTGATTACTAAATTACGTGATATACGTAATGATTTATAAATGATTTATAAAATATTATGCAATCGTACGCAATATCACATAAATAATTGGATTAAATTTTATAAAATATTATTAATTTTTAATAATCACCAAAATCGCCTATACAGTGGTTGCCCATTTTCTTGATCAGCACAGCAACGTAACCTGAGTTGCTTCCACTTTGTAAAATTTATTTCTGCAGAAGTTCTTTCATATAGATTTTCTTCGGCAACCTTTAAGAACCGTTGGACCTAATGTAACGCCATTTATTTGTTGGTGATATAGAAGCGATAATATTGTCACTGTTATGAAGTAGAAATCCATAGTAAAAATAATTATTACGTTCTTTAATATATGTGACAATAACTAATAATATATTAAAAAGAAAATTATATCCTAATACGATGCAAGTGTAAAGTCAAACCAACTTACAACCATGGTAAAGGTATTTTGGGATTTTTGATTTCGCAGCCTCCTCAGTAGTAACTACTTTTCGTTTCTGACCACGATTCAAGATAGTAGACAAACCAGAATCGTTAGTGTTTTCTTTGTTCGTTTTATAATGGTTTTAGAAAAAGTTAGTTTATGATAATAAATTATGTTAATTTTCGAGAAAGAAATTTTAAAAAATAAAAAAAAATAATCAAAATAGTATGCAAGGTTTTAAAATACGTGACGCGCGTAAATTATTTCTAAATTCGGAGTTATACTGGTCACGTGCTCACATGATTTTGACAACGCCAATTCTGTATCTCACCCACGAAAAATTTTCTGAAACGTGCTTTTTAGCCAATTAGATAGATGGATCAGGTATAACGTAAAAATCAAAACAATAAAATTAAGCGAAAGATTTAAATCAATAAACTGCGTCTTTAGGTTAGAATTAAGACCGAGAGAAGGGCATAGCTTATACCAAAATTTCTCAAGGAATTTTTTTTGTTACATAGAACGCAGAAGATTTTCACGTTACACCTGATCCTTCGATCTAATTGGCTAAAAATCACGATCCGGAAAATTTTTGTGGGTAAGCTACGGGCGTTTGTATTTAAACCAAAATTACACGTACCCTAGATTTATGTTACGTCCTTGATGTATTTTAGTATATAGAAAATCTACTTCAAGACTTTGAACAGATATCTAACGGCCACCCCAAAAAAAATTCATTAAATTTGATTAAGTGGGTGCCGAGATATTTTTGCTCAAGCATTTACAAATCTGTTATTTTGATTGATGTTTTATATGGTTTTAAAACTTTGAGCGAAAATATCTCGGCAACCACTCAATCAAGCTCAATGATTTTTTTTATTTTGATTCTACAGATCTGTAGAATCAAGTTAAAAAAATCATTGAGCTTGATTGAGTGGTTGCAGAGATAATTTCGCTCAAAGTTTTACAAAATTTTGTCGCGGATATTATTTTTATAGGCGTTTAAATGGTTTCAAAATTTTGAGTGAAGATATCTATACAATTGCCCAACCAAATTCTATGAACTTTTTTTATTTTGATTCTAAAGGTCTGTAGAATTAAAAAATTCATCAAATTTGGTTGGATGTTTGCTGAGATATCTTCGTTTAAAGTTTTGCAAAAATTATAGTTACGTATAAAGCTTTGAGCCACGATTTTTTATTTTTTTTTTGATTCTACATTAGGGTTTTAAGAAACGTGATAATATGCTCATATGATTTGTTGGATCATATGAACATCGATTTGATCAATAGTGTTGGTACGTGTGAAATTTACATGAATTTTAAATCTATTCTACATAGAAAAAATTCATTGTTTTTTGCTGAGATATTTTCGCTCAAAATTTTACAAAAACTTTGCCGGAGCCTTTATGTTGATAGGCGTTTCAAATAGTTTCAAAACTTTAAGCGAATATATCTACGCAACTACCTAACCAAATCTGATGAATTTCTTGTTATTTTGATTCTATAGATCTGTACAATCAAAATAAAATAATTTTTATCGAATATGGTTGAATAGTTGCTGAGATAATTTCACTCAAAGTTTTGAAACTATTTAAAACTATTTAAAACGCCTTCAACATATAGACCGCGGCAAAATTTTGTAAAATTTGAAGATACCTTAGCAAATATCCAACCAAATTTAATAAGTTTTTTGTTTTATTTTGATTCTACAGATATGTAAAATAACAATAAAAAAAATCCATCGAATTTGATTTAGTTGTTGCAGAGATATCTTCGTTCAAAGTTTTTAAAACAAGTAAAACTTTTAGCGAAGATATCTCAGCAAACATCCAATCAAATTCGACGAATTTTTTTTTATTATTTTGATTTTATAGATTTGTAGAATCAAAATAAAAAAAAAATCATCAGATTTTGTTGGATGACTGTTGAGATATTTTTGCTCAGTCTTGAAAATTTGGATTTTATAAATACTAAAATGTATAACGTAACTCAGATTTAGGGTGTTTTGTAGATTAGTGTTCTAAGCCGACCAGGTTGACCGCTTAGCCAGCCGTTTAGCCGTTTAGTGGCTGATAGTTTCATTAACCGCTAACTATTAACCTATATTGCGTACCCATATGTTAAGCAAATTTCGAGCTGAAGAGAATTTTTAATATACTATAGACCCATGCTTTTGGTCGGAACTATACTCATTGGCTAAGCCGCTAAGCTGTTAAAAATTTAACGGCTTAGCCTAGCCGTAAAAAATTTAATCGGTTTGAAACACTATTTGGCTGAAATTAGCCCTGAAATTAATTCATCTTGCACGCATTAGTTAGCAGGTGTAACTTCAGGTGTCTGAAGTTGTAACTTCAGGCACAACATATTTATTAATCATCAGAGTCATAACATACGACATTCTTCATACTCACTCTGTACATGTTAATATAAGACAACACGTATATAGCATGAGGTAAAATTTTTTATAACACTTTTGTGGTTATAATATAAGATAAAATAATAATATAGATGATATCGAAAAAGACAAGAAATATGCTTTGTACACCAAATCTAGATATCTATTAAAGTTTAAATATGCAAAAAGATAATGAATTACATCACTATATTATGGTTAAGATTAAGACATATAAACATAGCCATAGCTGCAACAAAAGCTGTTACCGCAAGGACTTTTGCTACAAGACCATCATTAAAAGATTCAAATATTGCAAATGAATAGAAGGACAGCATCAACATACATAGGAAAAAAAGATAAACCCTAGGATCTACGTTTGTAAAGAAATAAAATATATCCTTAGCATTACAAATTAGAATTAAAAGAAAAGCGACAGCAGGAGGTGTAGCCGTAAGAATTTTTGCTAAAATGCTAACATTAGTAAATGACAATATTACAATTGCCAGGGAGGACAATATGAAAAACCCAAAGAAATAAATTCCAAAATGATTATAAAATTCCTTAACCATTACCTTATATATAAACACAATAAATTCAGATATTTTCTTATATATTAAAACAATAAATGCAAATATTCTCAAAATAGATCTTGCAATAAATTTTAATATTCTATTAAACATTATTATAAGTGAGAATCTCTTATAAATAACTTGGAATACTTCATATTCTTCTATTTCAAAAGTTTCCTTGTCAATAATTGCTGTTTCATAAGAATGTTGTTTACATGTGCCAACAATAGATCTTCGTAAAAGATCATATTCTATCCATAAATCTCGAAAACCAAAGCATGGACCTTTAGCCTTACACCAAGTGATTGCTTCTTTTTTAGAAGAGACATGACTTAATTTAGGAATTGCTCCAGTAGATAATGAAATTAGTGAAAATATAAAACTTTTTGACGTTGATTTGAACTTATAATCAGCATAGTCACCAAACGTATCACTATTGTTTTTCATTAAATCAATTTCATACCAATCTAATGGATTATATCCACCAATTATTTCCTCTGAATTTCGGACTTTAATTATAACAACAGTTGGACCTTTATTATCACAATTCTTATGAAACTTATCAATTGCAAAATTTTCAAGGCTTGCACGATAAATAAGCTCAAATTTGAAAGGCATGTCTTTAAAACGATAAGGCATTCCTTGTTTCTTATCAATCCAACTCGCTATCAATGCAGCGTCTCTAGCATTAATGATATTAGAATCAAAAGAATAGGCAGATTCTCTTTTTAGCAAATTGTTGTTTAAGTTTTTAGGACTAGTACCTGACAAATATAGGTAAATTTCATCAAGAATATTATTTGGCAGAATATTTTTATAACGAGCTATAACTTGATTAAGTTCATTAAATGGCAATTGGAAAAATCTAATATGAGGAATACAATTATGTAGAGCTTTTTCAAGTTCCACGAAATCTGCTTGTGTCCATTTTGTTAAATCATCATCCAAAATAGAATCAGTATTTTCGATTCCCCATTTAATTAAATATTCCCAAACTTCAATCTCCTCTAACCTAAGACCATCACATTTCAAAAGGCGGATTAGAATATCTTCATCCATTTTTAAGAAATCTTTCGATTCAAAAATAACTTTGGGATTTCTACATACTAGTTCTAATGCAATTTCATATAAATTTGTGAAAGTATCATGTTTACATATTGTAATAAAATCATTAGGGAATTTCCAAGCCGATTCAGTTTCAAGCAAGCGTTTTTCAACTTGTTGACTAACTTCAAATAATCCAATTTCATCAGATGCAATAAAAATGTCGACATTGCTAACTTCATTCTTATTAGAAAATGTCCCTGTATAAATATAGCTATTAATTTTATTGAAATAAATCAAATTCAGATTAGTGTTATAGAAATTAAATTGATATATATATATATATATATATATATTTAATATTACAGAAAAAAATAGACATCAAAATTTATAGATAATTAAATTGACATATACTATATCTCGAAAATATAAACTTACTTTATAAGGACTTCAAACACTGATGGCGAAATATTAGGTTTATCAAAAACGATAATCCCATTTTCCCTCCTTGCCCATCGTGATGACAATGCATTTTTAAAGTAAGCAGATCTTGCTGATAATATAATGGAATGGGTTTTAAATTCTTTAACATCTGGTTCTTCACCGGCTTTAATTTTTACGTCAAAATCTTCAGAGTTTTCAAGCAAAGTTGAAAAATCTTTAATCAAATTTTGAATAGGTTCGTCATCCATATTTGCGAATAAAAAATAAAACTCTAATAATGCAAAAGGCAATCTTTTTTAATGTAGTACGTATAATGATTTAATATAATTGACTAATTGCTTTGTTTTAAAAGATACATACATTTAAAAGGCATATTTAAACAATAAAAAATGATAAATGACTATAGGAAATATTGTAACAGCTATATTGCCTTTTTATCTTTTTATAGCGGTTTCATTTTGATTTTTGATCTTTCCGGATTTATTAGGGACGCAGTAGAATCTGTTACGTACTACTTGTGCTGTGACTAGTTACGGCATAAGCTTTAACTCGTTATGGAAAAGACCGTTGCAGCTTATAAGCATAGTGAGAAAGTATGTGCTGGTTACACGCGCATAATACAAAAAAGCATAACGATAACACAAATTAACAAACTCGCAGACGAAGAACAGGTTTTAAGTTCGGATCTCATGATTATCATTGTAATGCGAAGCAGCCAGATGATACAGAAGAATCGTCTAAAAAATGATGGATTTTTATTGCTGATTTGAGGAATTTGGTTTTTATTCAAGTCTCCCATCTATATATATTCTTAATAAATTTTAGGCTTTAAATACAAGTTCCGATTATTGTATCGGACTTTATATAACTATGAACCGAAATTTGCAAATAAGGATAAAATAATTGGGGTTTTGGATAAAGTTCCAATTCCAAAATCTGCCAAATTGAATATCACAATATGCCTTTAACAGTAACATTAAAAATATGTACGTATATAATTAATAGCTAAGTATAAATCATTTAAATTTTATATATTTTTGCACATACAGAATTCTTCCAAAAATAAGCCCCCTTTGCATATACTAGCCACGATTATTGTAAAGTGAGTCAAAGTTAACATAGTGTGGACCAGGGGTGTTTATTTTCGGAGGAATACAGTAAATAAAATTACATCTTTCACAAATTCATCATCAATTAAATGCAACAGATCGTGCAATATTTTGGGATTTCTAGATAGCATAATATATTGTCGCAAATACGCCTTTCCGTATGGTTTTAATATTTTCAACTTCATCATACCACGATAATGAAGATTTGCTCTCATCCAATATTTTTTTAAAATTATCTATTCACCAGTTTGTTGTTAAATATTATCGTTATATTTGAATCTTTAGATAAATAAACATAATTAATTACACGATATTTGATTCTGTTCTCTAATAAAATATTTTAATTATTTATATTTATTGGAAAACAATATATTATTTTATAAAAATAATTTATGATTGATACCAATTATTAGTTTTTTACAAGTATAATTTCATTCTGAAAATAGTATCTAACATAACGTATTCTATTCCACTAACACCTCTCTTAGCGAATCTTTGAACATAAATGAATAGAATAAAATAAAATAAATTTATCACATTTAGTGATATCACTAAAGATCTTTAGATAATAAAAATAGCCGAATACCTTGATTCATTTACACATCTCGCTAATTAATATTATCATAAAATCGGTGTATTTCATTACCAAATTAATGTATCGCATGTCATGTGTATATTGTATTTTCTTGTTAAACAAATTTGTTCTCTTCATGTATGTATCATGCATCAGAATAAGGATGTCCCATGCGCAGCCTGTGCCTAACAAAACTACTTTCGCAATGATGAAATTGACGCAACCACGCATTTCATCAGATCGTCAGTTCCGTTAGACATCATTAATTTATTTTGATAGTAAGTTACCAAAATAGTAAATCACTGACTGGTAAGTTGCCAGTGACAGTCGCCTATATTTTATTCCGAACGTTTCCGTAATTTATGTGTAACTAAATTTTTTATAATTCGGGAAAATAACCAGAAATTCACACTGAATTCGGGAAAGTAGCATAATTTCAACCAGAATTCACACTGTGATGCTAGATAACCCGATTGGATAAAATCACCAAAAAAAATTTCAAACTCATGTGATTTATATCAGATAATCTACGGACAGATGTTTAAATCACGTGAATAGTTAGGGACAGTTAAGGTTAGTGGTTTTAAGGTAGGTTAGTGGTGCCCAGAGCACAAAATTCTACTGTAAAATACCGGAGCTCCGGTAAATCAAGAAAAAATTCCGGCACAATTTTTTGATAA